CTTCCGGCGCCTCTGCTTGATATTGTTGTTGCTGCTCTCCTCCTCTTTCTCCTTCCTCCTCATCTCTTTCCTTAAGTTTGTTTCCCTTCCCTCTCTTCCCTCTAACAGATTTCCCCTTTGGTCCCATATTTCTTCGACAGGAGATGCACCCTCGACGAACACTATGAACAGAGTGAGGCTTTATACGTTAAAACTCAAAATGTGCATAAATTGTGTACGTACACCTTACGAGCACCTTACGAACGTCTAACGAACGCCAGGAGTCATTCGTACGAATACCATAAGAATCTCCGCTCGTAAGGCGTTCTTACGAACGCCGTAGGAGCCCTCTTTGAACAACTTGAGGCGTTCTTACGGTCATCGTAATAATTTGAAGCTTCTAGAATTGTCCCTCGACCCTAAGAAATGTACGTAGATCTTGCGTGGTTCTTACGATGTAATTACGGCGTTCGTACGGCCGCCTTACGAAGAGAGGGTTTCGTACGATGTTAAAAAAAATCTTGGACAAGACCATCGACCAATTTGCGTTCTTACGAACGGTCTACGAACGGTTTACGAGCGCTTGTTTCGTACGGCCTTCTTAAGAAGATCTTACGAAATGGTCTAAAAATCGTTCGTACGGCGTTCGTAGCAGCCCGTAAGGGTATTTGTGACCAAGGCATTAAGTCTTTCACTAAATAATGTTACTTTGAATAGTGACATGCACTATTCTTATTCTCTACTTAAAAACTTTTTATTCATCATGGACTCACCTTGCCAATCAGCTGCCATTGCTGTTACAGCAATCATCAGAACCACGAACATTGAGGAAAGTGACGCCATTGTTTTTAGTGCTGTAATGAGCTGAAGTTAATTCGACATTGACATTTTTTCTTTTTAAAATATGTATTTGGGGTTGGGAAGGGGGTATCACTTATTACGATATCATTTATCATTTCATACATCGAGTTAACAATTTGTTTTCCCCTTCTAAAAAAGACTCTATGACCGAGGATTTTACTGGCTTCTCAGCAAAATTCTTTTACCACGTTCCGTGCATGTTATGACTCCAAGATTATTCATCTACCGGTACTAACAATGTTAACATGCTCAGCTATGGCTTGTGATCTTAATTTATTCTTTATGTACTATTTTTTGACGAATTTAATTCTTTATTATGTTGTCTATTTTTTTTAAAGTGTTTTTTTTTCGGTAGAAAAATGCAATACGCTTATAACAAATTGTAATAAAGTAGAGTACGAGATGTTCTTTTATGCTGTTTTCTATCGTGTGATAATGCAGAATGAGACGCATATTAGTCTTGTTCCAACAACGCATATTGGCTTGTGGGTATTGTATGTTCGAAACTTCGAATACGATGTTTGATTTTTACCCCCTTAGATAATTATTGTTAAATTATCATGAACATATAGTTCATAATTTATTATTAGGATCATCATACTCTCTAAATTTGAAAGTCTTATTTTTAAATCTTAAAGTCTTACTTTTAAATCTAACAGAGACTGATATTAGTGACGAACCCTTTGGGATTTAAAATAAGTCTAAGCTAAGACTTGAAATTTTAAGTCCCTGAAAAGGTTTAAAATTTAAGTCAATTGGATTTATATTTCAAGTCTTTTAATATTTATTTTAAACCTTTCTTGGATTCATTTCAAAAATAAATCTAAGCTAAGACTTAAAATTTTAAGTCCCTGAAAGATTTAAAGTTTAAGTCAATTGTATTTATATTTCAAGTCTTTTAGATTTACTGGTCTAGCTAAGCCATTAGAACCATTTGGTAAAACTTCCAACCAATTGAACGGCAACAACACTTCAATACTGGTACGTCTGTATTATCAATGTAAAGGCATCGGTAATAAGTAGACTTATACATAATTTAATTAATCGAATTTTTTTCATATACTTGTATTTTATTGAAATTATTTTAGTTCATAGTTAATGTTTCCCTTATTCATGTTTAATTAAATGGAATTCATACGAAGTAGCGAAATGTCCTAATAACTTGTAATTTATATTTGTAGTATTTTCGAAATGAATTGCATATACCTAAATCATCAGTAATTAAGAAATATGCTGTAAATTCAGAAAAATTGTTAAAAAAACATAGATCTGCACGCACCCCATATTCAATATGCAAATTAATTGGTGTCAGCTGGTTCAACTGGAAATATGCCAACAGTCAGTCATCAACAGGTGCAACTGGAAATATGCACATCTTATTGGCGAGAAGTTTAAGTCTTTCCAAGATTTATATCTAGAAGCTGGTTTCGATAAAACTTTTAGTCGAATTCCCAATTTATTAAGTCTTAAAGACTTGAAATATTTTAAGTTTAAAAATTGATTTAAAATTTAAGTCCTAGAAATTAAGAGAGTACTTGTTAGAAATACAACAAACTATACTTACATAGTGTTCGAAATCATCAAAGCTGTAACCGTGCACGGTGTGAAATCAGTTATTGATTGTATATTATTACGTTGGATGCAGTTGCGTAATGAGCCAAAACTCTTTGGGGGGATAGAAAACAAAAAACGGAAAATCATGACATTTTAGCAACATTTGTACCGGTAAATCATTGCCATGGGATTAGAAGAAGAAAAAACAAATCGACGTTTGAATCCCAGTACGCCAGTGGTTGGATGTCCCATTCTGACCTCCATGGAATGTATTTACAGAGCAGTGGGTGAATTACTCAGGATTGAGGTATTTATGTAATGATAATAGATAATGATATTAATGAGGATAATAGTCAAAATTGATCGGCTGCCAGAACACTTACCTTGGACCCTACCATTCTTATGCACTATAGGCTTACTATAGTATTACAAGTATTTTGAAAGAGATGACGAATAGCGCCATCTGTTTTGATGTGCAATTCTGAATGATGTATTTTGAGGTCCCATAATAGTGTTACCACATTTTATGGATACGTTTTAAACTCACATTAAAGTATCCCAAATGATAATCTACATGGTCTCATTTATTAGGTATATGACCACTAAATGCGATCACCTATATCATGGTTGGGAGCGAAGGGGACATGAAACAAAGGGCCTTGAAAGGGTTTTGAGCGATCGTGGGTTATCCTGTTCAAGCTGACTTAATTTTGATTCGTTATTCTTGTATATTGTTGTATGTTGGAAGCTTGTCGACTAAACATCAATCAATCAATAAATCAATCCCCGGAATAGGAAACCCATGTCTTTGGGAAATTATCAAGCAATTCACCATTGTTCCTGGCTTAATGTTAGGCGTATACATTCCATAAAACAATTTTCTCTTTTTTCTTTTATATGATATCCTCTTGTGAGCTTTTGAAATCGAGTTTACCAAGTATAAGCAATACAAAAAAACTTCCCAAATATTTTTTTCTTTGATAATCAGTTTATTTCTTTTGTCTTATGGAGTGTTTTATTTTGCCAAACAGAAGTAGTTCATTTTTCGTTTACTGCTTTAATTTTAATCCACTTTTCTTTTCTTCTTCTTACTTTCGGCTCCGTTTGTTTATTTCTATATTTTCCCTTTCGTTTGTCCTTGCTTTCTTTCGTATTATGTCTATTTCTATATTCATTTATTAATTTGTTTATGTTGATGTACTTTTTGGATTTTTATTAAGATAGCCTATTATCTAGGCTATTCATTTATTCGTATATATGTTTGTTCAATTTTGTTCTCAATTTATCTTTCTTTCTTTCTTTCTTTCTCTTTCTTTCAACCTTCGTCTTTCTCTTTTTCTTGATCTTTTGTTTTCATTTCTTTTCTCCTTTCCTTCTCCTTTCCGCCTTTCCTCTTTCCTTTCTATCTTTTGTTTTATTCATAATCCAACGCTAGTGCGCAATAATTTATTGACGTGCCTATTAGTTTTGTTTGATTATTATTTCTCAAAACTCCAATACTTTTTTCGCTTAGAAGCAAAACTTTTTTCCATAATCTTAAAACTGAACGTAATTATAACAAACTTTTGATCACTTCTTAAACTAAAATAATTACAACGTAATTCGTTATTCACAATTCTCACAATGCTTGTGACTATAAAAGTATAACTCATTTACATAATATGAACATATTTTCGTAAGAAGCAGTTATTGCATGGCCTAAACGAAAACATGCATTGCTTTGATTTCAGAATAAAACAGAATACTCTCTAAAATTTTGATTATTATATTTCTGAAGGTATGATTATACAAAATTAAAGTTATGAGTCTTTCCATATCAAAACACACCCGTCTACCCCCCCCCCCCCCCCCGGGGGGGGGGGGTACTCAGATTTGGTTTGGACGGGGGTATGCCGCTCAGGCCCCGAAACCCCTACCCATTTTAAGGGATCATTTGGGGGCTTTCATCATTATAAAAGACCCATTTTTCACAATTTTCGGGTGTTTTCGGGGGTGTTTACATGGCCGACATCCGAAAATTTTGGAATTTTTGAAAAAACAGACCCATTTTTAATGGTATTTTTGTTAAAAGTAGGACTCATGTTTAAGGATTTTTTTGTGAAAAAGTGACCCATTAGAGCGGCACACATGTCCTTATATGTGCCGACTGCCGAGTACCCCCCCCCCCCCTTTCCCTTCTTCTTGTGTAATTGATGGGGAATGCATTTAGCCTGGGACAAGTTTCTTTACTCTACCTTGCCCTCCCTCTAACTTCTTATGCAGTTTTCCCATTTTCTCAGATGCAGGGTAAACTTTCTAATTAGTCATCAATGCCAAATTCTTTTCCTTCAATTTTCTTATTTTGAACCAGGGGCGGATCCACGTCGCGATTTTTCCGGCCCGGCCCCCCCCCCCCCAGCCCCCCAAAACGGTAAAAAAAATTAGGATAATAACGTAAATTTAACCTTTTTTTAATAAGTGCCCCCCCCCCCTCCCCCTACCCCGCTTATTCACCGGCCAGCTGAATCGGCCCTAAATTTAAAAATTGGCTTCTTTGTTTTGCTTCCTCCCACCCTTCTCCCACCCCACAAAATATTCCACCTATATGTTAAATGAATTGCTAACGTTTAACATCCCGGCCCGATATCGATCGCAATACACAGCGCTGAATACTGTGCGCTCTATTGTTTTGTCTGAATCTGACTTCGAATCTGACTGAAATACTCACTTATCGGTATTTGAAGCATCATGTACTGCACTTGTAAGAGGACGATCAGCCCTGCTGCAAAATTCTATTTATGAATTGTTGAAAATGTAAGTACATAGAACTAGAGGAAGTAAATCGGTTTTGTTGCAGGTTTAGTCTCGTCATCTTCGTCTCCGACATTGTGTGACTCCGGCAACGCGGCGGTTGCCCGTGCATTTAGGCTAGTCTGGAGCAGTGTGTAGTGTCGAGCTCCTATTTTGTGAGTGTATTGACTATTGCATGCATTGTTGTGGGGGATTTTTCTCCGTGAATTTGTGCACCGCAATGGGTTTTTGCACAGCTCAAGTACCGGTATGTGTAGATCTACTGGAAGTTCTGTTTCACTTTTTGACATTCTCTTTAAGTAAGCCACCAGCACCATTTATTTCATAGATCTTTTAATAATTCTGATGGCGCTAATTTAGAATCATATCCATACTTTGACCCGTAACTCCAGCGTGGATCTTCTTAAAGGAATCCGGACATTGCTAGAAATCAGCACTATTGTCCAGATATTGTGGAGATACCCTAGTCTACTAAAACCAAGTAAAACATACCAAAAATCAACTAAATCTTCGGCATACTCGTGATATACGCCCCGCAACTGTTTTGAATCGATTACAATTCTATACTAGGCTTCTAACTTCAGCCAACTCACTACCGTTATATATATACTCGTTATCGAGGCCCCGCGCTACGGCATCGCGCACAATTCAACACAGCATCGGGGCCTGTATCACAAGTATACTATACGAGTCTCCTATTCAACTCGCTATATATACCCGTGATATAGGCCTCGCGCAACGGCGTTGTATGTTCTACAACACTTACATGTACATGGGGCCTGTATCACGACTATACTACTCGTGAACAAGGCCCCATCCTATGCATTTTCAAGATGGGCAGCACGGTAGTGGGGCTTCTTTCACCAAAGTATAATTTAGGGGGTGTTTTGAGGTTTAATAAATAGAGCTAGGAAATGATTAAAAAGGGTTACATTTAAATGATTAAATTTATCTTTTAGACCCTATTTTAATATTTTTCCTTTCCTTTTTTAATATTTTGGCCCCCTCTTTAAATTTATCTTTTAGTTTAATATTTTGTTTTGGGGGCACGTGCCTTCCCCCCCCCCCCCCCCCCTCCTCCTAATTTTTATTTTAAAAATAGTCCCTTTCACCCCCTTTTTAACTCACTTTTATCTCCCTTTTATTGCTGTCCGTCATGAAAATGTTGGCTGAAGACTGAAGTTAGAAGTCTAAGATGATATGTAATCGATTACAAGACGGGTAAGTTGCAGGGCCTATTTCACGATATTGCCAAATCTTCATCAGTTGTACAGATAATGGTCATGATCTAAAAGTTGTTATGTTGCTGTTTCGTATCAATTTTCTTTTTTTTTGTTGAAGTATTTTCCCCCAAAACAAAGACATACATGTAATATACACTTTCTCACAGGTTTTACGGCAAACCGCTGCACAATAGAATTGCATATCTTCTAGCATACCGACGGTGGATTCAGAAGCGACTTAAGTTAGAGACTATATTACTTCTTAGATCCTCACTAAATTCATGTTAGTAATTCAATCATCCAGTGAAAAAAATACACGGGGGCTCAGGGCGAATTTGCCCCCGAAATGCCCAAAAGAGCCCTCGAAAATCAGAAAAGAGCCCCCGTAAATTTGCATAGAGTTCAATGCAAAACAACTTTTAGAGTGTTATTTTTATGCAGGCAAGCTTGAAAAGTAGCCCCCGAAAAATAAATATTAATTTTTTCCCTGCAATCATCATTACGGTGCACACACCCCATCGTCGGTATTGTTTGAAATTGTGTTGTGCAGCAGTTTACCGTGAATCCTGTGAGAAAATTATAAGTCTTTGTTTTTAGAAAAAATATTCCAAAGAAGATAAGAAAATTGACACGAAACAGGAAAAAAACATAACAAATTTTAAATCATGACCATTTTTCGACCAATTGATGAAGATTCAGTTGATTTGTGGTATGTTTTTAGTAGGGTATCTCCACGCCAGAGTTACAGGTCAAAGTATGGATATGATTCTGAATGAGCGCCCTTCTGATGGACAATATAATGAGGGACAATTGGAAATATTATAAATATTTAGTAGTCTACTATTTGATTCAAAACTTTTCTATCGAAAGATATAAGAGAAGGCTTCATTTTTGTCAAGCATCTGGACATACGACCCCCCACCCCCAACCCATCCCGAAGTTACCCCACTCTCTAGTCTCTATAAAACTCTATTTTTCTTATTAGGTGGTCTGTCAACGACAGATCACCTATTGTTTTCGTCAGAATTTTCTTTCTTTATTTATTTATTCTTTATTTTTATTTCTTCCCGTTTTTTGTTTATCGTTTAACTCAAGATCGGTTTTGTTAATTTCTTTCAATTTTGACACAGTCATAGGTCTTTGTCATGAGACGTGACAGGAACATTTTCAAGGTCATCAGGTTATCGTGACGTTATCCAGGCGCCATTTTGTGAAATTACGTTATCCATCATATCTCCATGATGCATTAGCAAAGGTCATTCATATTCATATCACATATACTTCAGGTCAAGGGTCAACAGGTCATGTCATCAAAGGTCACATAAAGGTCATGACGCGCGCGTACGCGTGCGTCAAAATTTTAAAATGCTCAAAATCACTTAACTATTAAAGGAGAGTACGAATCAGGTCATTTTAAGCATTTCAAAATTTTCCGTCCAGACGTGTCAACGCGCGCGTTGCGCGCGCTCACAACGCGCGGAAAAGGTCAAATTCATTTTGTTTTACATGATTTAGATTCCTCTTACCGTAAATGACAATTTACATTAATTTCAGTCACTCTTGACCTTTCATAAGGCCGTGAGCGCGCGTCAAAGTTCAAAATCCGCGCGGGCTGCTATGGGCAATATAATGCAAATTTGATCAAAAACATCCCATTTAAAAAATCAAAATAGCTCTTCAGATAGTCAATTGACCCCAACTTATATATCATGGTTGGAAAAAGCATGAGTTGGAGATATGATTTCATGTGTCATTTGACCCTCAATTAACTCATGACGTCATCATAATGGCCTCCAAACTCAAAATTTCAATTTACATATTATGACGTCAGCATATTTTTGTAAAATTGATTGTATCTCTGTAAATATTGATCAATTTTCTTTCAAATTTTGATATGTTCTACCTGAGTATATTCTCTACAAATGCAGTCACCATGATATTTCATTTTGACAATGGTATTATGGCGTATTTTTGCGATTAAAGGAGGCATGTCAATTTTTCACATTTTGCGTGTATTCTCTATGGGACATGACTTTTTCTCAAAACTGGATCTACATTCTCGTCTTTCGCGAGCAATATCTCCGCCGTTTTATCTTTGTTTACGCTGAGCTTTGAGTATGTTGTAGCTGAGACAATAATCTATCACAAGTGTGTCCTTTATTTTTCGATCAGATGCCGGGATCATGCTCATATTTCACTTACAAAGTGGGATTTGATAATTCCATTTTCCGTTTACGTGTAATCTCTATGGGAAATGTTTTGGTATATCGGTAACGCACTTGACTTCCGACCTCGAGGTCCCGGGTTCGAGTCCGGGCGTCTCCAACAATTTTTTTTCTTCACTTTTTTTTCTTTTTGACCTTTCACTCTACCATCTCCTTTGAATATTAAAACACGTACAATGTACAATCGCAAATAATGTAATAAACAACCATATTTACTTTATTATTACCCTATTATCACTAGATCCATTACTTTTGGCGTGTAATCCTTATGGGAGATGACTTTTTCTCAAATCTGGATTCTACATTCTTGTCTTTTGCGAGCAATATCGCCGTTATTTCGGCTTGGTTTTTGTTGATTTTTGAGTATGTTGTAGCTGAGACTATACGCTATCTAAATGTTTTCTAATTTTGTTCAGTCTGATGTCATCGTGGTCTGTTGATGATAATCATCAACATCATCATCATCATCATCATCGTCATCACCATTACTATCAAGATCATCATGATGATCATCATTGTTTACATGTCTATATAACTTCTCCCTTTCTCAATATAGTAAATATTATAATCTCTCATAAGACTTGAAGACAGACCACCTAATTCGTCCCCATGACGAATTAAATTTCTAGTTATCTTCTTATTTTTTAAAAAATTCATGTGTTTACCTGGCTTCCTATTCAAGACTATTCAAGACTATTATTGATACATTATAGCCAAAATTGTATTGCAAATGTGGTGCATTGAAATTTTATATTCACCTCTTCACACATTCATCTTTGACCAATGACCATGATCATGAGTGCCCCCTATTCTTAAAGTGTAATTACCATTTGTCATGGTTACTGCTTATGCTGAATGCTATTAAAGGACCTATCAATTTTACCTCTTTGTAATCTTGAAAGTGCTTCCATGTTTTTAACACTCATGACATTTTGTGTTTGACAATTTTAATATGCTATATACTGTATGTCCAAGGTAGACCCACAGCATGTACAGTATTAATCATGGGCCATTGGTCCTATTTCATATTTTGTTTCTTTCTGATACATTTATGTTCAAATGTTCATGTACGCTTTAGAAGAATGTAAGGCCCTATCAAACGTCCGAATGCAGTGGGATAGACATATGGGTTGGGTTGGAAACGTACACCCCCTCCCATACCCCCCCCCCCCCCATCGATTGATCTTAAACAAAAGAAGAGAGAGAGAGAGCTCAGAGAGAAAATGATGGAGAAGACAACTTGAAAGTGAATGATACCCCATCTGATTGTTATATTTTCTTACATTTCATTTACCAAGAAAATATCCCCCTATGGAAATTGACACCGAATCCAAATGGCGGAAAATCAGCAAAAGAAGACCAAGAAATGGTCTCAGAAGTATAAGACCAAATACAGTATCAAGTACCTATGTATTCGGAAGTCTGAAAGGAATTTTGTACAATTTGTATGTTTGTTTTTTTTAAAGTGGGAATTATTGAACTAAATACACATATAAAATGCTGCAAAATAAGGCTCAGATTGCACCAGAGAGTATCTAGAACCCCAGAACTTCCA